GTGTGAAATATGGCTTAAATTCAGTTTTCATCTACGGACATGCGGTCCATTCCTGATTTGCTTACATTTTACGCATGTTCGATTGTATCTGTATCCTTTTACAAACCCCTTCAAAACGCTTGTTTGAAAGTTTGTCGGCAATGATAAATGAGGCAAACTTCTTGTCTTGTCCTGAAAATTTTTTTCTGCTTGGTCTGATTTTAAGTTGAACTAAACCACTGCCTGCAAAGTTTGATTATCTATTATCTGGTACAGCTGCCGCTGGCTAGTTTTTTCAAATGTATAACGGACATTTGACTAATCTGGCAAATTAGGACTCAAGTCTCCATTAGAAAAGTCATCTGTTGAATCACATGGTGTGCAGTCTTCGCGTCACATGACATTCATTCTTATTTTGTGAAACGTGAATTGGTGAACTTAAGTTTAAAAGTCTTTTTGCATCACACCAAAAACAATTAATCACAGCCCACGAGGCTGATGTACTCAGCAGGTTGAGTTTGCACAAAACGAGCGAGCACTTCCCTTGCGCGGAGTGTTCTTTAGCTGTCACGGTTTGGATTCAAACCAATGAAATTCATGAATTTTTGCTCTAGTGATGTAACTGATACCATATCGTCATTGAAACAAGTGACGTGATTCGGCTTCTATTCATAGTTCTTCATCAAACATCAGGGAACCTAATCAAACAATGCGTAAGGAGTATACACGATATGATATGTGGCGCTTTCTGTGATATGGAAAACAACGTTAGCAAACAATAATGGTATGAATGTACCAATGAATGGCTGATTACTTTCTTGACTAACTGACCGACTGAATTAATTAATTAATTAATTAATGAGTGAGTGAGTGAATGAATGAATGAATGAATGAATGAATGAATGAATGAATGAATGAATGAATGAATGAATGAATGAATGAATGAATGAATGAATGGAGTTCACAAGAGAATGAACACTGCGAGAATCTAATGCTACAAATATTTGTGCATTCGCGCGCATGTGTACTCAGTTTACCCAAACGGACAAATACCTATTCCGTATGGGCCTAAAGTTATTCTGATGACGTCCAGTGGCGCCAGAACAATTAGTTCGAGATATTACACTCACAAGCATCAATGGTTGACATTCTGTTGCTAACAAAAGTCCTTACAGCGTTAAAAAACCGAACCTGCACCTGCAGGTTCATCCTTGTGGACAACCAGGTGGGAAGTCGATTAGCTTGACGAGAACTGGTAAAAGTCAGTAATTCTCGTGAGGTTTTTTTGTACAGTCGCCTCCTGCAGACGTATCAAACACCACGCGTGAATATTTCTGTGGGACTTAGTCAGAGGCTGGTGTGTGGTATGAACCAATCACGCTATCCTAAAGGAAAATTGTTAGCGTAATTTCCGTTTCTCCTCTTTTCCGCCATCATCAAATATGGGAGCATTTCCGAAGGTTTCCAATGGAATGCTAAAATTTGTAACAAAGAGTGGGGATCGTCCCCTGTTATGAATATGCTGTCGCGTTTCATGTAAAGCATGACAGGTTATGTTGATCAGATTCCTATGGTGACAGCAGTCGGCTTGTCTCAACTACTCCTCAATCTGCGTACTAATCGATTTACCGAAATATACATGAATATTGTTGTGTTGACAGCTTAGAGAAAACTACAGCCCGTGAGTGTAGATTCGATCTTTCGTCACATGTGTTGCCAGGGCGTTGTACGAATTCGTCACTGTTCTGTCCGGTCGTTATACTAATATCGCGAAGATCAGTCTGTCCTCTAAAATTTGGAGATTTTTTTCTGCCACTGGCTTTCTGTAGCAGCACTATGGCCGAGGAATCAAAACCTCTTGCTTATCAACGAGCTCGCTTTGCACCAAACGTAGCCGCTTACCTGGAGGGCTCGAACTTCGCAGTATCGGGGCCGCAGATATACATACTTACACTCGTTCCTTTCGAAAATGTAATAAAGGCATCAAAAAGCGGAATACGAAAATGTATGGGCTGAAGAAAGCGTTCTCAGTAAAGGGTTTTCAGGTAGTACAAGGGCTAGGGAAAAGCCCGTAAAGTTATGCGTAGAGCAAAATCCAGCCGATAGAGAGACAGAAGAAAGTTATCCCCTACTCAGCTTCTAGCTTTAGGTTACAGATGGGATTTCCTGAGGTTACCAGTGGACCGAACATACAATAAAGCCTCTATTGACAGTCCCAAGTCTCCCAGTGGCAACAACCTACAACTGTGGTATCACGTAGTCAATTACTTCTGTGCCATTAGCCTTATACACTTCTTTGTGTTGCTTTCTTAGACTTACAAATTATGAAATGTGAAAAAATCTTGAGGAAAACATGAAGACCAGTCCATCTTTGTTCATACAGTAGTCCCTCTGATAGTTTCTGTTGCTTCTTGTCTACTAGAAGGAGATGCTTTATCAACGCTAAAGCACTTCACGTACTTGAGTCTTTGGAAGTCTCTCTCAGTTCCGTTGCAAACGTGTTTCCGGTATTCCTGTTGATTGCGGCTGCATTTCGTCAGAGGCACGTGCCGATGAAAGAATCGCTGAGTAGGCCGCTTGAACACTCTACTTTATTACTAATTTCATGGTATTCTCTAAGGGGTTGTTGTAATCCTGTAAAATTAGACAACCAAAACCGAAACTTTATCTGTTAATTTGTTATGTGTGCAGGTTGAAAATGCTTGTCACATCGAAATTAACCTATCTGGTGGCCTCGGCCGATTCATGTAGAAACAATAATCTTTCACCACGAAGCTCCTTTTTAAACAGACCCCTGAAGCACATTTCAAAGTATCACGGAACCCAACATGTTGTCCTAGTCAATTCTGTAGTCAGTAAGTTCTTTCGAATCTATCCCCATTTTACCCAGGATAAGACATTGTAGTTCCTCTAAAATAATCTTCAGTGGGCTAAAATTGGATTGTCCTAGTTGTCTAAACTATCCGCAGTTTTGTACTTTGCGAGTTCACTGTCAGGCTCGTTCCTAAAGCCAGTCTTTATTTGATTTGACCTTACTTCTACGAAAAGATAGTGTGCAGCTGACTGCCTTCCACGGTGACTACAAGTGCGCTCCAACCAACAGTACAGGAAGACTAGTTTGGCGCCTCTTACAGCTACTAATCATCATGAACAGTGGATATAAGGATCTGGCACGATAAAAGTCTGTCGAAAAATTCAACCATGGAGATAAACCGGAGGGAAAATTTGATAGCAAATTAATAAATATTTTCGCGATTTAGGTAATTAAGAGTAAAGAAAAATGACCAAAAAACACATATGTACCGCACTTAGACTGGTTACCATGGATAGACGGTTTTCGAAACAATAATGCACGGGGGTAATGAAAGTGAAAATCTCATCAGTTGATGAAATTTTCTTTAATCAATGCAATGATACACTAATGTATTCATTTATCTAATGAGATGGGTGAGAGATCAGAGAACGGCAGTGCAGGCCCAGTTGCTTGTGCCCTAAGAGATGCAGTGTAACGACGACACATTACTGTGTGTACATTTTGGAGGTTGGATTCAGTATTGTATCTGTCCTGAATACGACGAGAACGTCCCGTAAAGCATTCCTAGGAAAGAACCAGAACCTCAGAGGATAATTAATTTGTCCAGTCAGAAATGTACATCTCCTTGAGATCTTACCTTTGCCTATTACAGTATTGCTGGACGACAGTCAAGCATAAGTGTCAACACTGATGTTGCTGTTTTTGAAGATGACGATGATGACTGCTGGACCAGGTTAATCATATTGCCACAGTATTTTTCTAGCTTTCTTAACGGGGAGTATGTTGTGCGCCACTTGAAATCCGGACTCTCGAAAATCAGTGTAGCCATGAGAGGATACTGGTACTGATAACGATGAACCTGATGAGTGTGGATGTATAGAATGAAAAGGTAGTTCTTACTGGTCGACAGTCTACCGGTGACGTCATTATTTCAAAATGTGATAAGTAAACATGTGTGTCAGTATATCAAAATATTGATAACTCGGGTGTGCTCAACTGTGGTCGACCAAATGACTGTTCGCCGACCTTGATAATTAGGTTGCAAGTTCGGTGCACTGGTGGGCACGTATGTTTTCTCACAGGTACACTACTCGTAATATTCCCCAGAACTCTTCGACAGCCCATTAGCAGCTCACCTCTTTCTGGGGCTTATCGTACCATGTCATAGACGAGAGATTCAGCTAGGATTCAGTTGTTTCCCCGTAACACCAGCTTAATACGCAAGTGAAAGTATTTCGTCAACAGATTTATTTGTTTCTAGCTGATGATACTTCTAATCCGCTGTTTGATAGTAACCTGAATCGCCACTATGTGAACGGTGACGTTATGGTTCATTTGATTAATTCTAAGTAGTATGCAACTGTATCGAGAGGAAATAAATCTCAGCTTCGTTGAAGACGTTAGACTTCAGGTGACCGATTAATCTATGCTCAGGTAACATATGCTGACGGCGCAGTACGGACCGAAGCCTTGTCTGGTTAGTGAGCCAGATTTCTACCATTTTTCAACTGCTGAAACCGCGTTTATTTGTCTGATTTTGTAACGAATGGTGGATTTGTCGTCGCGAGCAGAACACTGCGAGCGCAGACAAGCAGGTGCCGCCGCATTAGGGCAATCCAAATTTGAATGCGCTGCAGATTGCATCGCAAGCTTGGCCTGATACGAGGCCATAGGAAGCCACGTGAACCCAGCCTCCCCGACACCGTTTGATCTGACGCAAACGCCTTAGCAGGTCATCGCCAGAGCTGCAGGCAACAAGCCGACACTGCGCACGGGTTAGACAATTCCAACCGTCACAACGAGGTCCACCCAACTAGAACGCGGACAGTCAGAAGCTAGCTTTTGATTGGTTGAAACCGTGTTGGTAGTAGACAGGTCAAGGAGAACGAATATCAACCAATCAGACTTCAGTGAAATCTCGCCAGTGATTGGGTAGTGTAAGCAAGGCATGTTTGGTCACGCTTTAATGTGAGTGCAATCGGCTCGCCACATCGTCGTGCTCTCAATCACTGGCTTTCGGTTGATTAGTCGTGAACTTCGCACAACCTGGACTTAATTTTATTCCCGTACCTTTACCATGTATTTTGTGGATTTTATGGATTTACTACGCACGCTCTGACCTAATTGCGTCACAATGACGGACACAACTACCCAACACTCCAACTCCTCGCCTAATTTCCAAATTCCTTCAACCGGACGACTTGTTCGACGGAGCTCCCAAGACCTCGGTTTGCGTGAGTCCTTTTCAAGTTTGATGTGATTATTGTTTCTGATTATTGTTTCTGGGCGTTTTACTCTGCAAAGAAGCCAACTTGATCGGCACAAAAGAGGAGTGGACCATTCACCGTCGTCCCTGTCATGAAGCTTGTCTTATAGAAAGTGGTGGTGTGTGAAACGTAGTCAGGGCCATGTGCTTCAAACTCACCTGAGGAATGGCATAGTTACTGTAGATTTTAGATAGGGTGGGTCCGACAGCAGTCACCCTAGGCCTGCTCGCATATGTTTTCCACGTGTCCAGTCTATACACCAAGAGAATCAAAGTGTTTACTTTGGTCAGTAGATTTTTTGCTGTCTTGAGGGCTGAACAGATACCCCTCCACAACGCGACATAGCACAGAAACGAGGAAACCAGACAAACCCAAGTCGCATTCCCAGCCCATCAGTATGAAGCACGCAACGGTACAATTTCAGTCTGTCGACGGAGATTTCGACCGGTAAGTGAAGCCAGTCTATGCTGAAAAGCCGAAAAGCGTTGCAGGCTGTTTCACCCTCCGTGGGGATCACCAGTACGCGTATCGCGAAGAACAAGGGAGTTTCGAACCCGCGGGCTCCCAGTTAGTGTTTGCACACTTAATCGCTCGGATACGAGCCGCTGGTCAGCAATATGATTAACAAGCAGTTAGATAGGGCATAGCGCTACTTAACCTTCAGTCACGGAATCCACATCGTGTGTTTACGTGCTAACTGGCTCCTTCGGTGATGGTCCTACAAGTTCATCTTGCTAAGTTAATCTTCTTCTCTGCTTCTAGCTTGCTGTTAGTGTGATATTTGGGAATTCTTAATTGAGGTTTCGTCCTGCGAATTTAGCCGATTTATGCTAAAAAGCTGGCCTCAGGTTACGTCGTTGTGTAACTTCTTTTACCGAAAGTGAAACCCCATCCGAGTGAAGCTACCGCGAACCTTCTCACCTAGATTTACCTCAGTAAAGGGCGATCCCCCTTTAGGAGTATTTTTAATCTTGCACGATTATTAAGGTAGTCCGTGGAACTGGAATAGGGACGATAAGGCCACGGTCCGCGCTCCTAAATGACTGATCTTGGGCCATAATCTCCCGTTGGTAATTCAAACCCGTGAACTCACGGATCAATGCTGTTGACGCGTTGTTGAGTATTGTATTGTTGTTGCTGTTGACGCGTTGTTGAGTATTGTATTTTGGCAGCCACTTGGGGACGGACCGTCGGTTGAGCGGTAATCACGCGTCAAAAGAATCCATTTTCTCTAGGCTGTGTTTACGGGCCGGTACCTCGGTGGTTGTTGGTGACCATCAGTGGAATCAGACTGCAGTGTCCGATTTTGAATGTCTGCTTCTGGGCCGCAAATTACGTGCGAGGCTTTATTTGCGAGGTTCGGTTCGCCGGGGCCCTTGTTTAGAGGGATCGAATTCTGCTACTTGATGCCATAGTTACGCTGCCTTAGGTTTCGAAGACTTGTTTTCTAGGGTGCCCGAAACCAGTCGATGCGCAACCATTACTTGAGGTCGAGAACAAACCACCATCACTTTTCTCAACGCAGAGGAATTTAATTTTGAAAAAGGCCTCTCATTATCGCTAGAGATCGACAACCTCCTCGAGTAGTCTTTAAACGTACTGCAATTTCTTGGGTAGCGTCCTAACTGAAACGTGAGGCGGCTGAAAGATATCATAAAGGAGAGAGTGGATTTCAACTGAGCCTCTCGCTAACACCCAGTTAATCTGCAATTGAGTATTTGGCTCAAAGGCTGTCCTCTCTTTGAATGACAAGAGAATGAAATAAGTAATTTGGCGATAGGTGACGTTTTAAAGCAGTCGTGGTTCATTTAGTCTCAGACCCGTAGGCTGTTAGTGAGAGCGTGAAGTCACGTGACCTTAAAGTGTAGCTCGTTGGGATGTATGGTTGACTATAATATCTGACATTAAATGGGCAGACCTAGGTACTCGGGAAGACCGACGAAAGACTGCTGGTTCGAGTCCCGCCCGAGGACTGCAGCTTTTGGTTGAACGTCGGGTGGCTGTTGATCCGTTAGCCTAGCTTAGCGATTTCCTTGCAAACGCTTCATCACCAGTCATGATGGCATAAATGTGCGGTTGATTGCGCGTCCGTCTTTTTTGGATGGCAACTGAGAACCTAGGTCTTCACCGTCAAATCAGGTTTTGATGGGTTCAGTCTTAACCTAGCATACGGCACCCGTCGCGGAAATCGAATCTTACTGTGCTGGCGTGGTCTCCGACCGCCGTTAACGGGCACCGACAGTTCGCACATCTGTGAAGCCAACTCACCCCGTCATAGCAATCTGTCCACCTAAAGTAAGCGAGTAAATTGCCTCTGATCAATAAGAAGCCCGAACAATTTTGGGTGCATTGCGCTAAAAAAGGCAACAAGGAACCGAATGGATTCCGACGCGCGCCAAAGTTGGACCTACTGATTAATGGTAATTCGGCCGGATTGACACGGTGGCTTAAATCGGTCATTTTTTTGGTAATTGCACTGGCCATTTGTTTGACTATTCAGGTAAGAGGATGGAAGCTCCTTTATCCTCTGAGATAGACAGCGTACATATTCCCATGCAGATTTTGCATAGAAATGACCAAATACTTGTAGAATTCCCAAGGACCGAAGCAATCGGTCGATGCTGGATCGTTTTCTGTATCGCGTTAAAGTTCCATAAATTTGCAAGATAAATATGTGATCAGCGTAATCACTAGCTGATCGATACTGGGTCAATTCGGCCCACTGACTCAGTTTCTAGTTGACTCGTTTTGAAATTGATTTGATCTTTTGCAAGTTAGTTCACGTGGTTCACGTCATGTAACCCCAAGCAATTGGGCAGTGAACAATCATCAGTATGGTATGAGTAATCCACTCCATCTTACGACAGGCTTTGTAAAAGTTGATTTAAAGTGTATCACGCGATGACAACTGTGCTCACGGAGCTACTTGCTTCCGGGCGATACTTTGGAGGTTGCATGCAAGTTTGCACGACTTCACTTTGCGTCCTCTTATTAGTTGTGCGGGCATTCCCTGGATATTAGAGTCCTTCACCAACAACCTAAATTCTTACTAATGACTTCGAGGAATTTTTCTGGTCTGTTGCCAAAAGCAACTGTAGCTAATCTTGGAGCAACATGTATTTTGTGGTAGCAGTTGAGGTGCTTGTGCACTCAATTTAGCGCTATTGATTAAATGAACTTGAGTTGATGCTCAACTGGGCTCACGTACTTCGCGCCTTGATGGTTATCGATGGCCAAGATAGCTGAGCTGTTAAGGTACGAAGGTCCGTGATTCGAATCCAACCCTGGCATCTCAACTGCTCCTGTCTGTCCTGGGAGTGTCTCAGTCCTCGCGCTCCCTTCGGGTAGCATGGAAGCTGGGCGCTGAGGGGTGTTACAGCGGAGCTATTTTTGGCGTTATGGTGATGGTCCACACCTTATAGCATAGCTACATGAATCCCTGGTGTGGTTTGACTATAGTACTTGTTATTTTTCACGTGTCGAGGCGATTATATCTCGTAAGGCAAATCCAACATTTTCTGAGGAGCCGTACCGTGCGTCGGTTCCATCCCTTTTGGGGTAATCAAGCCCCTGGAGTAAGATTCGGATCGCAACATTCGGGATGGAAGGTGGCGTTTAGCAGGGTGGCAGTTGTTGTTTCGAGATTGACTAATCCAAATTTGTTCAATTAACAACTCAAATTACTGGTTCAGCGCAATCGATCAGCAAGGTTAATAACCGACTGGCTAGCGGAGCAATATGATGGTGCGAGAGTGTCTAAAAGATTAATAAGAGTTGACAGAACACATTGCTCATAAACGAGATATTCAGTTGAGCCCGACGTTAACACCAAAGCAATATTGCGTATTTCGTCAAAATTCAACGGACTGCGAACAACAACCGGTGGCTGAGTGAGGCACCAAAAGTTATTTACCCTGTCGAACCCGTCAGTAATCTCGACATCAAACCCTGTTGTTTGGATCAGAGACGATGTGCTTGATTCTTTTCCGGTCTTGGTTAAAACAATCTGCCTGTTGGCCGCTTGGGCATGTACCAAGAACAAGGTTTGTGAAGTGTGAGGGGATTGTGGATTTCGGCTTGTTAGTCTAAGTCAATCAGTAGCTTGCTCGATGAGTTGACTAACTCCCAAGTCACATGGGTCTCTGATGTGTCATCGCTTGAGGAGTTAATCAAATAGGCTAAGTCTGCACTCTTTAAAAATGTGTAGCGCCGTATCATTTGTGCAATTCGCTCACGCTGGGATTAAGGAATCTCAACTCCATGGGTTCACACTTGCCTCAGGATTTGTGAAGAGTGCAATAGTGATTATTCCTAATAAGGGTCTTCCGGACTTTCGGTCTTCCACACTTTATCAATATGCGTGTTATATGAGGTGGTGCTGACGACGTTCGCTGAGGTTGGCCATAACCCGAGAAATTCCTGTCGCGCGTCTTGCTCCCTATACGTGTGGTTAAAATGATTCGAAGGACATCATCATCATCGACAGCATGACGTCAGTGCACAAAACCGATGCTTTACTGCCGTCCTACCATCATTTATTTGAAAGCCTTATTATAGATTCGAAGTGAGAAGACCGACCTCGACCATAGTTGACATAGGCCTGACCGTGTTGATTTCTAGAGACTCCGTACGTAGATGCTCTGGATATGGCTTGCTTATTAATCTTATCATTGAATGAGTTGTTTTGCGCCTTTATCAATTTTTTTGTTCCGGGCGATAACTAGAACGGGTTCACATGCGCTCATGGATGGCACCGCGGGTTGCCGGCTCATGGGTGATATCCGCGAGATCTTGATGAGAGAAAAACTTGAGGAAGAAATTTCTCGCTCGGAAGAAGTACTCGTGGTTGCTTGAGCTAATGCTTGGCTTATGCATCTGTCACAATGCTCTCGTCCGACGAGCGAGCACTCCTCAGAATCCGTATTTGTGGATCACTTCCATTCATGCGAGATGGCTCAAGTGGCTAGAGCGCGAATTCACTGACCGGAAGATCCGTGGTTCGAACCCGACCTCTGCCTCTCGACTTCCCCTGTCTAGGCTTGGGCAACCTGGCAGTATCCCAGCCCTCGTGCTTCCTTCGGGCGGCATGGCGGCTAGGCACCGGAAGGGTGTCACAGCTGAACGTCTTTTTTATTCATGCCGTTCTTTGTTCTGCTGACTGTTAATCAAATCTCTCTCCACAACCAAAGTAGTGGTGGTAAACCGGCACTAATCAACGGGTTGTTGAATTTCCCGTGTGTTGTTTTGAACATGCAGTCGCGAATTGTCCACTGGTACTCGTAGTATAGTGTTTCAAAATATTTTACGGGATAATTAAGTGACACCGGAGTGTTCCAAACACCATAGACCAATCGGGCTTCTTACTGCGTTATATCTAAGCTTCTGGTTCCTGAACATTGAACCCCGGAATTTCGTCACCCCTCCCAACTAGGTCCTCAGGATATCCGCTCCTATTATTGGCTTTTATTCAGTTACGATATATTCTTCGAAATAATCGCGTTCTACATCATTATGGCCTGACTGAGTTCCGTTCACAGAATTCTTGGCGCTATTTTTTGGAAGTGGGCGGACCATCGTGATGATTTGGAGTTTGATAATTTTTGATCATACAAAAGGGAAAATTGACTCAGCCGTTCTTGTTGGTTGTACTGTAGGTGTAACATCCCGATTACACTTCCTCACACCACGATCAAGCGTGGCTACCCCGGCCCACATTTCCATCACTCGTATCCGTATTCTTGCGACTGCCCTCTGAGTGGATTACGGTTTTTATCGGACGACTTCGTAGTCATCATCGTCACTCAAGACAGTACTCATGTGTAGCGCTGGTGCTCCATCCGCCACTTCCACAATCACACGCGAGCTTGAGTTCAGGTTACCCAGATTCCGAAAGCAGGACTTCTAGGCTCCCCGGCAAAGGTCGGTCTAAGGCTGCCAGAATAGCCAACTTTCACAGGCACCGCTACAACCCCCAAGATAACTGGCATTACCGTTTTCATTTGGCCAAATCAATTCGGTTATAATGTACAAGCACTTTTTTCATGAAAGTCCCTGATAGCTCCGTTCAAACTTGTAATAGCATCTTTTCGGCTCTCACCCACCAAGCAGTCAGCATGAAGGACGAGGATTCAATTGCCAGAGTCTAGCGAAGGTTAGTAGTCGTGAGTTCAGGATCTCGCACCTCTAGCTGTTCAGTGTCTCAATCTCACTTATCCAACGATTCCTTTCGATATTCCATCAACTTGTGCATTCGTGGTCGAAACCAGTAGTCACTCGGCTATTCACGGTTAAAACCGGAACCGACAGATAAATTCGTTCTTAGTTTTCAGTATTATCATGACTTAATTATCTTTTCACCAACTTGACACACTTTAGCTACCGAATTTTTCACGTCTTTCCCTCTGGGCTCCAGTAAAACGCCCAGTAACTGTCTGCTCAGGGCAGCAGCAGAGCAGACAGCGGATACCCAGAAGTCACAATGTCACAACAAGTTTCACGTGTGCTGTCATACCCTAAACGGCTTACTACCATTGGTTGGAGCGAATTGGAGAATACACACATTTTTTCCTCAGTTGACTGACAGTACTATCCGCGATCCCATGGCTCGTATCCATACCCTTCGAAAACACACTTCGGCAAGCGGACACTGTAGGCTCACTTCATCGTTAGTTTCATTCCAGATCAGATCCATGGTACACGGAGTGTCGTTTTTCGTTACTTATTCGAAATATCGAATGCATTTTCTTGGTCGAGTTCGCCTCCTTGCTCACTGGACTTTGCACTAAATCCTGTTGTAAGCACCGCTTGTTGTCCACAGTCCAGGTCATCCGAAGCCAATTTCAAATCCATTTATCCTGAAGAAGCTAGATATCTATGTCAATTTGACAGGCAGTGAAGCATCGGTGTTGAACACTGATGTCATGCTGTCGATGATGATGATGATGATGATGATGATGATGATGAGGTTTTGCTTTGCCCATCTCAGTTAGTAGTCGGGGGAGATAGGAAAACTGATTGGAAGTGCATGCTGGACTTTTTAGATTGTGGTTGCATATCACGCACTCACAGGACTAGCGATCTGGTCGATTCACACCGCACTCTTTTCAGAAGCTCATATTACACAACCACCAGATGTGAAAGTTTGGAGATCAATGCCCCCCTGTCGCCTGTATATGACTTCCGACTTAGGCAAAGTAACTCACAATTTCGAACTGTTCGCCGGAGAGTGTCGCAAAGGATAAGAATGAGAGCCACTCACACATACTTTGTTCCTGCCGGCGGCTTGTCCCGGCAACAATACTTCGTTGGCATCATCTTGCATATGCTCACAGTCGCATTATTCCGGTGAATCCGCCCGATAAATCGTTTTCCAAACCGTAATTTCATGGAATATTTAGATCCACCCAATCAGGAGCAGAACTGTTGTTGCTGGCCGATTATATACGCTGCGTTGTTCTGGTCTGGAAACAGGCTATTCTACTCAGCATATCGATTCACTAGGGAGGATTAATCCGTGAATTATTAGGACTTCTAGGAGTTCCAATCTAATGGAATGGAAACATCCCTCGGTGTTTGGAATAACCGGTTCTGTGGCCTTTTCTGAAAATGAGAGCCATGGCTTATCTCATCCAATCTGGGAATACCCAACCCTCCTGCTTGGTGGCATTAGAGTTAGGCACCGAAAGGGTTCTAAAATTGAACGATTTTTTGCAGGAAGTGGAGACGTGTTCTCGCAGTTGCATTCAAGCGCACAATTTGGCCAGCTGTCAGTAGATAACCACAACTAAACTTGGTTAGCTGCTAGAGTGGTTCATTTTCATCAGATAATATTCCATTTTTGCGTGCTTCTAGCTTTGTTGGATTGGTCGAGACAGACTAAACTTACGTTCCACAGTGTTGAAAATTGAGGCTGTCCAAGTGCCATGATTTAACTGATACATGAAGTGCTTTGCCTAGCGCCATATCCATTGACGTAGTTCCGTAATGCGCGTTTCATGAAGCTCTGGTGTAGTTTCACAAGGTTGTAAAAGCAGTCGTATCCGTCGCACAAAAGGTCTCTGTTGTGTTGCGCTCTATGCACCATTTCCAATTAGATTTTCTGTTTATGTGTTGGCCATTACACCATCCAGAAATAGAGGTCAGCGTCTACTCACACACAGTCAGTTGAAAACGGGACTCAACTTCACCCAATACTTTCTTTTTTTCACTTTCAGAAATCACGATCCACGAGGGACACGCTGCTTTTCTACAGAATTACATCCTAGGTGATCGTTTTGGTGTGGGAGGCTGAAAGTTTGGAGATCAATGCCCCCCTGTCGCCTGTATATGACTTCCGACTTAGGCAAAGTAACTCACAATTTCGAACTGTTCGCCGGAGAGTGTCGCAAAGGATAAGAATGAGAGCCACTCACACATACTTTGTTCCTGCCGGCGGCTTGTCCCGGCAACAATACTTCGTTGGCATCATCTTGCATATGCTCACAGTCGCATTATTCCGGTGAATCCGCCCGATAAATCGTTTTCCAAACCGTAATTTCATGGAATATTTAGATCCACCCAATCAGGAGCAGAACTGTTGTTGCTGGCCGATTATATACGCTGCGTTGTTCTGGTCTGGAAACAGGCTATTCTACTCAGCATATCGATTCACTAGGGAGGATTAATCCGTGAATTATTAGGACTTCTAGGAGTTCCAATCTAATGGAATGGAAACATCCCTCGGTGTTTGGAATAACCGGTTCTGTGGCCTTTTCTGAAAATGAGAGCCATGGCTTATCTCATCCAATCTGGGAATACCCAACCCTCCTGCTTGGTGGCATTAGAGTTAGGCACCGAAAGGGTTCTAAAATTGAACGATTTTTTGCAGGAAGTGGAGACGTGTTCTCGCAGTTGCATTCAAGCGCACAATTTGGCCAGCTGTCAGTAGATAACCACAACTAAACTTGGTTAGCTGCTAGAGTGGTTCATTTTCATCAGATAATATTCCATTTTTGCGTGCTTCTAGCTTTGTTGGATTGGTCGAGACAGACTAAACTTACGTACCACAGTGTTGAAAATTGAGGCTGTCCAAGTGCCATGATTTAACTGATACATGAAGTGCTTTGCCTAGCGCCATATCCATTGACGTAGTTCCGTAATGCGCGTTTCATGAAGCTCTGGTGTAGTTTCACAAGGTTGTAAAAGCAGTCGTATCCGTCGCACAAAAGGTCTCTGTTGTGTTGCGCTCTATGCACCATTTCCAATTAGATTTTCTGTTTATGTGTTGGCCATTACACCATCCAGAAATAGAGGTCAGCGTCTACTCACACACAGTCAGTTGAAAACGGGACTCAACTTCACCCAATACTTTCTTTTTTTCACTTTCAGAAATCACGATCCACGAGGGACACGCTGCTTTTCTACAGAATTACATCCTAGGTGATCGTTTTGGTGTGGGAGGCTTTGGTCACGTTCACCGTGCTCGCCGTTTATCTGACAATCGCGAGGTGGTTGTCAAAGAAATCCGATCGGAAAAAGTTCCTTGCTGGTGTCAGGTGAGTGTTTGAAACACTTATTGGAAAATTCACTCAAATTCTTGTCAGCTTATGCAAATTTGGTGTGGCTGCTTACTGCACATAAAAATAACACATTGTACTCGGATTTGCTGCCAGGCCTATTTTGATAGGCGATTGGTTGTCGTGTAGTGTCCGTTGCTTGTTCCTTGGTCCACAGTTTTGCTGATGTTAGCCGTCAGGCTAGGTAGTACATCCGTGTCAGTCACTTAAGGGGATGTTTTGTGCACAGGATGTCTGTTTATACGGTGTGAGTTTTTACCCGAGTTTGCTGTCTGTCAGCTACCACCGCGTGATGTGGCCGGGTGCGCGGGGATGTGAACGCAACCCAACTGTCTATCCATTTATTAAGCAGGCAGCTTTGTGTCTGTCTCAAAGCAATGTGGCCAGCAAGTAGGTCAAGTCCCATCACTCATTGTCATCCCATTTGGTCTACTATCTTGCGCATATGAGTGCGCCACAGAATCCAGACACCGGGCATACACTTCAAGACTTGAGCGAAACTGTGCTGTATTTTGTCAGGGACTGATTGTGGTGGCGGGATCAGTAACCACATCAGCGATAGAAATGAGAATAGCGACAGCGTAAGTTCGACCACTTATCTATGTGAATTGTATTTGCTTCTTTTCGAGACAAGTCTTACCCGTGTGGATGGGTGATGTACCGGGTTGTGGCAGTCGAGATCCACAGTGGATTCGCTCTAAGTTCTCTTAAGTTCTTGCCTCCAAATACGCTGGACCCCGACCATAGCGAGGCGCTATTCCTGCGAAACGTTCTTGATCACATCCGAAGTTGGTTGGGTTCGGAGGTACGTTATCGTTATCGTAATGTCATCTATGTTCCGTTCCTATCTCTGAGTCATCTTCCAGCTGTGACGCTGAGCAAAAATTCACTACTGTCCACTTATTTACATTTAGGATAAAAAAGGTTACGTGAGTTGCCATTCCAGACATTGTTTGTGGAAAATACAAGCTGTCCATCGCTGTCTAAAGAGGCCAGTGTAATGATGATATGTTAAATAAATTGTTAGTGGTAACATTGATCTCCGACTCTAACAAAACATTGTTTATCCTTAATGAAAACAATGGATTTCCGGTCTGTCGTACCGTCCTGATTTAATCCAGTTGTCCTCGTTAGCCTTTTGATGATTGGTACGAACCGGTTGCCGCAGTTTGCTTAAGCGAATTCCACTATGTACCACCGATCCGTTGTATCGGTTGCTGGCGACGATGCCATTGGTTGACCTGGTGTTTTGTGAATGACTGAAAATCACAGCACGGTGCATTAGTACTGCAGTGTCAGGATCGATACACTGGTAATCATGGTGATGGAGGCCTGTTTTCAGTGAATTTCATATCGGTCTCCGCGGGTAGAGTCGTATATGTGGTTTGGCTGCCTTCAGCAGCTTGCGAAACGGACTGACCGAATGCGGTTTCCATTCATAAAGTGTTAGCTATCATTGCCTTACTTTGTTTTTTGCTTACCTATATTGTTCGATTACACCTTTCCTCCTTCTAGGTCGACTCCCAACTGATGCCTATTGAAGTGGTTCTTCTTATGCTCTGTCAAGGCCTGCCTGGAGTTGTTCGATTTCTGGATGCATTTAATTTGGGTCAGTCTTGGGTACTTGTCATGGATCGAGTTTCTGAGTATACATGTGACATGTTCGACTACATCGGTGAACGGGGCACACTACCCGAAGATGAAGCAGCGCACTACTTCCACCAGCTCGCCGGAATTCTTTTGGCTTGTCATCAGGCTGGGGTGCTGCATCGAGATATAAAAGATGAAAACATTCTCATCAACCGGGCTACAAATGAGCTGGTGCTGATTGACTTTGGATCCGGAGCGTTCCTTGAATCACGGCTCTACACAGATTTTGATGGTGAGTATGTTGTACTATTGTCTTTAAGATTGATTGTAGGTTTGCCTGTACCCTTGATGCTACCCATGCGTGGTTGATCGATCGCTGCACTCACGTCTTTGTGCGATTTACCGTTGATGTCATCCCTTATTTTTTACTTCGGTTCAGCGACTGCAGGATAACAACACCCGCGGCTCACACAGGTCTTTTGTGTCTAATCACATAGGCGACAGACATTATTCGTTCAAACCAAGCTAGTTGGTTCCTTTGGTCTACAGGTTAGAGGTTGACTAGCTGCATGAGATCACCTCAGTGAGATCACCTAGCTAAAAATGATGCCCTGCTGGATGAAAAGAGCGACTGTGAAATCCAGGGACACACCGAGCAGCCCAGGAATGTATTTTCACCAGCCAGTGCCTTCGTTTGATCCATGGCACAGCACAACAACCTAAGAAGGCTGCCACCTCTTCTCTGTGTGCAAGTTGATCTGGTGGAGTCGGTGCATCCAGGTGTCCATCTTCCTCCCGTTGTTCTGCAGGGGCCGCTTGTTTGTGGGGAGGGTATCGGTGCGTCGTCGAACGGAGGGCTTTTAGTGTACGGCAGTCCCGTGACAGTTTTCACCGTGACAGTTGCACATGTTACTCTTTCTTCAGCAGGCGAAATCAGCACATAGTTTTAACAAGTACAGTGGCAGTGATATTTTGCTGTTGCTGCTAATTACGGGATTCAGATGCGGTTCTCACTGTATGTACAATTATAAATTTTAATTATTTCTGCCGTTACTTTCCAACCAGTCGTTCTTAGATCGAAGCTGGTCAGAATAGTGTATTAACACGGGTCTCTGTACAGTGAGGCCTTTCTGTTTCACTTTCAGATAAAACTGAGTTGGTTAGCCGTACGAAGCACGAGCATGTTTAAGCAAATGGTGTCATAACACTCCAAAGTTACGGCGAGGCTTCTGGAATTGTCGGCAATTTATTGATTTGGAATTCGACTTAACTAAGTTCACTATTTACACAATATTATTTTGCACCATTACGTAGATATAACTAATTCTTGTCAATGGGTCACTATGTATAATCAACTAATGAATGAGCCCTGTAACAGTTAGTTCGTCTTCTTCTGTATTGATGTGCCAAACCTATCCGTATCTTTTACAGGTACACGTGTCTACTGCCCACCGGAATGGATTTTGCACAATTCCTATTACGGCAAGCAAGCTGAGGTGTGGTCACTCGGTGTTTTGCTCTATGACATGTTATGTGGTGACATCCCGTTCGTTAATGATAAAGGTATAACTGGTGGCAAACTGCGATATCGGAAAACCAACATTAGCCAAGCGGCAAAAGATCTCATCGGGTGAGTACAACTGTATTCCTGCCTCTGTAAGACACGTTCGCTTGTTGGCAGTAGAGAGGTGGTCAGAACCCTTATAGTGTTGGCGAGCTCGGCGGCAACAGGCAGTCGAACTCAGGCGATTATGTGCTGTATGGATGTGACCGCAACAATTGTTTGGCTCATATTCTGTTACAGATCAACGGCTCATAGATTCAATGAAGGCGATTCATCAACTCGCCCATTCTAGTGACATGAGTAGTTCGACATTGATTGATAGTTTGGGTCCATATGCTGCCGGCGCTGGAAGTCAAACACAAGTTTATCAGACTATTGAATAACCCTTTCTGATTTACATGTGACTCTTGAACTGGCTAGTTTGGTCTGATAACCCTAGTATATTAGCTTATTATACCGAGCTATGTACGTGTACACCAGTGCAATTTAGCTCCTCATCTGACACTTGTTAATCCTTTTTGTTATAACAGGAGTTGCCTGAGTATGGAACCTGACAAGCGTCCAACTTTAATGGAAATCCTACAACATCCATGGATGGCTCATCACAGACCACAACGTCATGAGACGCAACCCAAATCACTGTTGATTGCGTTGAATGCATTGGAAGAGGCGAACAACATAAACTGCTTACGAGAACTTCCATTAACTGCCTACTCCGCTCCCGTTGAGAGTTGTCCCTCATCTCAACAGCCGTCTCCTGCATCTTCCACGTTTCGGACTGGGAGTCCATCTTTCAATGCTGCCCCCAATGTGCTGACCTCTTCTTGTTCGTCTATTTCCTCGTCCCCTCAGTCAGCCTGCGAATTGGAATTCATGGACGACGCAAGCAGATATACGTGCCCTGTGTTTGATGTGCCTCTCGACTCCACCAAATCCCCGAACGACATTGGTGGGTCGTCGACCGTCAATTCTCTTGCTGATCCGAGCCATGCTTCTACACCCAGACAACCAATTGCCGACCAACATTCTGGAGTTTCACATAGATCGTTTGGATCTGACGGTTCTGTTAGCATCACTGCCTCCAACACACTCCCTTCAATTTCGGTCGCCATGCATCATATAGATTATGGCTGTTGGCCCGATGTCAATAATGTTGATTCACTGCACACCAGACTTTCGAGTAATGCCTGTTTATCACACAGTCACCGTAGCAGCGTCTCCGCACATATCGGGCAGCAACAAACCGCTCTTCCGCCTCTTCCGCGCATACATTCGAACGGGTCCGGTTCAAGTTCTGGTTACTATTCCCGGTCGGATTCACTATCCTCCAATGAGGGTAAACATTTGGTCTCTGCCGTCAGTGTGAGCGGTTCCCGCACCTGTTCGACTGCAAGCCACGTGGCATCTGTTATGTCTGTCCCAAATATGACCACTACACGACTTCCGTGTACCACCACCTTGACGACTACCCATTCATTGTCCCGGCCGATTCGTGAGCCAACCATGCATACACATTGCTGGCGTTCCGGTAGCGCAAGTACCGGATCAACTTCCAGTTCAGTTTCTTCAAACTCTTCTTGTTGTTCGGACAAAGGTAATTTGTACGATTCCCCGCTACCCCATTCTGCTCCGTCCTCAGCCACCACCATCCTGCAACAATGCAACGTTCCTCCATTCCTCACCACTGACTGCAGAATTGAAAATAATGATAACTCCACCAACAATGTGGTGGCTCCTTGGCAGGTCCTATTCAGCTGTCGTAAGAACGGGACACAAAGCCATTGTCTGAGTTCGACATCGACAAAATCCAGCACAACCAACTCCACGCCGGTCTACCCAACTGTCTCGGCGAACTCCACATCCCAGTCGGCGATCTCATCGAACTCGGAGGCTATGGGACGGTTTTGTCAGTTGTTCTCATCATCACCCACCAGCACTCACAACAAACTCCGTTCTCCCCACATCCCCTTCCCTCCCACCAATTGGTTTCTAGGCCATAGCTCCAGACCAAGCCACATCTGGAGACCTTCCTGATATTTTATTGCTATTTGTGTTTTCACCCAGATTTATTGTCTTTTTGTATAGCAACCCTGTCATGTTGCACTTAGGCAAGTCGTTGTGATGACGCCACGTGCTCCAACTTTTTCTCCGCCTTTTTACCCGACCACCTCAATGGCCGCTACCTGTTCTACCCCATGCTTACTTATTTCTTTTATCTATCTACCTCATTCCGTGCGTCAAGCACTCCTCAACACCCAAAATGAATTCGAACTGAAGACTATACACTGTTGGCCTTCTTTCTACATCGATTGCATCGGTGCTGATCTACACATCCCACGCACAAAATAAGTCAAGGGTGTGTGCACGGGCAAGCACGCTTCCATTTGTAAATACATAATTTCATCTTGATTCCATTGAGTTCTTACAATATCTTTTGAAAAAATACTCTGATGCTCATGACCGTGGGAACACAACCTAGTTCCGACCCCGTCCTCTCCTCGGCCCCAGCAATACCTGCTACCGACAGTGCAGACGCACACGTGACAGACAGCACTCCGATGGACTCGGCCTTTTGAAATACCACTATACACCAATCGGGTGACCGTTACATTCGTTCTGTCTTGTACAAGAACCACTTTTGGTGCAAAGTAGATTTTACCTGCTCAACCTGACGAGTTCATTTTCTGCTCAATTATGATGCACTTCCTTCCCAGTTTATTTCTTGGAACCTGATAGCTATGTTTCTACTTTACTTTATGGGCAGTGAGATTACAAATGTGTTTATTGTTTATACTTTGAAATTTCCTCTGTTTTATACTATTGTGTGTTCCATGTCCCCTTATTCTTCTTCTATGGTTCTATGGAGTGCTCACTTGTCCTTATGTCTGACGTGTACCCCACCCCACCTTCCCTACACTGGATCCGGTTTTGTATGCGTCCCACTGACCCATCTCTCTTCACAAGACACCTGTATACGAATTGTTGCTCACAATGCTTGGTTGTTGATCACGCGGGTTGGGATTTTTTTATTTGATTTGAACATTTGTGTTCATTTGCTATTATACTCCCCCTCCCTGTCCCAACTACACACGCACATGTGACCCACACTGACTTTCCTGTCTGCTCTCCAGTTTTGTTGACATTGGTCTCTGTAGTTTTTCCAGTCACCGCAACAGGGCGTCAATCCTTCACTTTGTTTGTTTTCATTGAGTGCGCGTCCGAAGTTGACAGGCCCGCGTTAACAACTTCAATGGGAGGTCATGCGCTCAGGTCATGAATATGCGTCATTGTCGGACTCAGCGTGTGAGAATGAATTGAACATAAGGATAATTTGCTAAAGTACATTTGAGGCGTATGCCCGCAGCCATCGACTAATGGTGCATTTAGTGAGCTGCCTGGCGTGAAGCTTGGTAGGAGCTTCTGTCCTTTCGGAACCATCGTTTACAGTGAGGTCAAAGTTATCACTTACGGGCAATCAATATACCAATAAATCAAAATATTTCTGCGAACTGTTGGATGTAGCCTGGAGGATGGCTTAAGCGATGGTTACTATGATTGTTCCGGTTGACGCACCCTAAATTATTGTGAGCCCAGTCGTTCCATATTAGCACCTATTGGTGGCTTTTCCCTCAGCAGTACTGGACCAGGTCCGAAGGTGGTCATGTCGTGAGAAGTGAGATATTCATGTCGTACAGCTCAGTCGAAAGGAATTCGCTTGGCACTGGTCAGCTAGTGCTGCAGTGAATTGGTTAGTTGGCTGTAGTAACAACACCACGCGTGAGCGTGTCCGCTTCAGGTTGAATAACGTCACCGTAGCCGTGGGGCAACGGCTTTGATGCGGATAGCTGTTCAACTCCGAATGGGTAGGTCAAGCTCTACACAGGTGACCAATTGTCGAAGACCATAACCACTTCAAAGTGCGTTTTAAGGAGCACAAATTTCAATGGACTGGAAGTTTATTCGCCTAAAATTGAACAGGAGACTTAGATTAACATTTAGAAAGGGCTGTGGCCCTCTTCCTCGGTGCGATGAACCGGGGGTGCTTCAGGAAATCATGCCAGTATCAGTTACCTCTCTGAAAAGGATTGGTTTATTGGCGGGGTAGTGAAGTGACGGTTGTAGTAATTCGGCAACTTCACCTTACTTAACTGCAAATTGGTACTCATATTCTGAGTGTCTACGGATATACCTTTGGGTTACACATAAAGACGGTAGATTTGTATCCTGATTGCTACTCAAAACTACATTACACGTGCAAATGTTGCTCTTCGTACAGAAAAAACGCGGAATTTTCAACTATTCGCACAGTATTGGCCGCGTTTAGTGATCTTTCCCAACTAAAGTAAGCATCCTAACCCCACGTTCATTCTGCAGTGAGATAATTCCATTATAAATAGGTTCAGATAGGCCGAAAATACCTCGATGTCCAGACACGATTCTCCAAAACCTGACTGTTCTACTCATAGGTTATTGGATTTTCACACAAAGGTAAACACCGGGCCAAGTCCTTGCGTCTGTCGAATGACGACTTCCACTGAAGGGAGACTGTTCTGATCAGATCCCAGGTGACCGCTCTATGCTGATCCCTCTATCCAAAGGCCTTTTTTGTAGTGGATGGTTCGGCCGATACGATCAGTTAGATGTGAATGACAGGCATGATCTCAAGCTGTATAAGACTGGATTTGCTTGTCCTTTTCGAAGTGCTTATAGGGAGCCAGTGCTGTGGCTACGTTAGACCGTCGAGGTTTTTCAGCCAAAGTCGTGAGGAACATTGCAACCATATGCTGGGCTTCAGTGGATTACTTCCGACTCATACTGTTTACTTTTAGTATGTCGTGGAATGTTAACTCTGCTGATTATGTGTACTTTGAGGGCGAGGGGTCAGCTTGTTTCTACGCTGTGTGAATTTCACGGAGCGAATACAGTGTTTCTAAGCTTAAACTGTCGCTCTAATTTGGGCAACACTTATATACATTCTTGGATTTTTTAAATAACTTATTCCCGTGGTCAAATGCCCAGCAAAAACCGGTAGATCAAGACCGTTACAGTTGTCAAAAATGGGAGGAACTTTCATACATGGAAACTTGTGTTTCTTCAGCAGGAACCTGAAATGC